GTCAACGGTGGGGCTAACATCTATACTAATGCCAAGCTTCTCCCAGAAACATTTCATCTCAGGAGTAACTTCTGCTTCCTCCAGTTCCTCAACATCCTCGCAGTTGAGACCGGTGAGTTGTTCAAAGTCATTGAGTGAAAACCGCAGTGGGGTTGCATTTATGAGACTCCATATCTCATACTTCTTCTTGCAGTCCAGCTGAAAACCGATTATAAACTGCACCACCCTCGACGCCCAGCCAAAATTCAGTTTGTAAAACTTAAAAAAAACACCAAGCCTTGATTCCAAAAGCTCTTCCCATATATCTGCTTCCAGTACTGCTTCCAATGCAGGAAACAGCTTCCTATTGTTGCTGTAGTACGCTATATTTTTCCCAGGGTGGGGTTCCACGTCCTTTGTGAATAATCTCCTTGGAAACTTAGGCTGCTTCTCCATCCTGCAAAACCAAATATGACATAAATATGAAAGAAATATATAATTATTAGCAAATGGCAGAAGTCTAGTTCAGAAAGAAGTCTACTTTTCTCCGAGAAGTATACTCGAGAGAAGTCTCTTCGAGAAGAAGTCTACTAAGTCTACTTAGAGAAGTCTACTCGAAAGAGAAGTCTACTCAAGAAGAAGTCTACTCGAAAGAGAAGTCTACTCTAGAGAAGTCTACTGATACGAATTCTAAAATAAATCACTAGTTACATAAATTACCTTTGCGAACACTGAAATCCGGCAGAGACAACCAACAGCGTCGTCGACATCTGTAAATCCAAACAAAAAATTTCTAAATTAGCGGCGGCGATGATATCTAGGGTAAAAAATTGAATTTAGCAGATGCCGGACAAAGAGAAATGAGGACAGAATTACCAGCAGTAACGAGGCGACAAGGCAACAGAGGCGGCGATGAAAATAGATGAACGAAATCGATTAAGTTCTATATACAGATAAAGAGATATACAGTGTGAGAGATCTAAGAGAGGAGAACAAAGATTACCTTCGTTGACAATTTAAAAACGGTGGTGACAAGTTGAAGCAGCGGCGGCGATGACGGTAGGAACAAGGACAGAAATGGCGAAAAAATCGCCCAAACGCTGGTTACGAGTCGAGAGAAACTAGGGTTTGTGGAATGGGTTACTTTCTGGTAAAAATGAATATATAGGCCGGTTAAAAATGGGTTAGTAAGATTATTCGGTTCAGTCGGAGTGTTTTTATTTTACTCGGACATAACAGGTCAAAGAAGTCTACTTTTGATTCTAATTCGGTAAGAGAAGTCTACTCGATAGAAGTCTACTTTGGTCCGAGACGTCTACTCGAGAGAAGTCTACTTTGGTCCGAGAAGTCTACTTAACCCTAAACCCTAAATCAAATTTTTTTAACTAAAACTTATTTGAAAACATTAATTTACTTACCATATTGACAAGTCATAGTTAAAATAACAAATATATGAACCATGATTCATTAACTGAATCATAAACTATGATTCATATAGAATTTGTGCAAACCCTAAGAACTACACTCTTATACCCTAAATCCTAAACCCTAAACCTCAACCATAACCCTTTTGATTGTATACTTATGAAACTTATAAATTGATTCATTTTCATGAATTTTATTTATATAGATGCTAAATGTATCTGTTTTATTTGTGTATATATTGTTTTTACCAAGTTATTTTCATGATTTTTATAATTAATGGTAAAGAAATTATAAGAAAGTAAACTTCTCCAAGAAGTCTACTCGTGAGAAGTCTACTTTAGAATCTGAGAAGTCTACTTAGTATTGATTTCTAACCTAATTTATCTATGATGATTTAAATTGATTATTTTGTGTCAAATTTTATTTTTAATAGGTGTAAAAATTATATGTTTTTGTTATTTTGAGAATTTTTTTTACCGAATTATTTTTCATGATTTTTTTAATTAATTATAAAGACATTATTAGAGAGTAGACTTCTCGGAGAAGTCTACGCCAGAGAAGTCTACTAGAGAACCCGAGAAGTCTACTTAGTATTCATATCTAACCTAATTTATCTATGATTATTTAAATTGATTATTTTGTGTCAAATTTTATTTTTAATAGGTGTAAAAAACGGATCTAATCTTTTTATCAAAATATTTTTCATGATTTTTAAAATTAATTATAGACAAATTATTATAGAGTAGACTTCTCCAGGAAGTCTACTCGAGCTCGAGTAGACTTCTCGGGGATAAAACAGTAATTGCAGCGGGCGTTTTTTGTTTGGTCAGAAGGGTTAATATTGTAATTTCACTACCCCTGTGAGTTATTTTTGTCAAACATGCAATAGAGGGTATAGTTTTGCTTTTCAACTCAAGTTTTGAGCCATATTCAGCAATTCCCCCATTTTTTAAATGGTCCATTGGATATCAATTTCAAAAAGCTCAATTGATACATCATCTGAGAACCGGTATAAGATTTAAATTTATATAATCGATTTCCAAACACGAACCAAACCAAACTAATCGGTTTTAGATCTGAATATATCCACCAGGGGCAGAAGGCACATAACCCCTCTGAGAAGCGTTGTGGTGCGTTTCTGACTTCGCAAATAATATATTAGATGTTTTGATAAAATAAAAAGAATAATATATCTTAATTTAAATGATTTTTATAATTACTTAATTATTAATTAGTAGTATTTGCTATATTTATGTAGTAATAAATCATTATAATTATATAAATAATAAATTACTAATTAAATTATGATGAACTAAATTAATAATAAATGATTATAAGTTTGGGCTAAATGATGTGGTTAAAGGTTGAGTTATTGTTGGGCTTGTTTTATTTGGACAAGTTGGTTTTTGGGTGATGTTGGTAGGGTGTGTAATTTTTATTGAGTTATTTGGGATATGGAATTGACAAGTGGGTCTTTTATTGGAGGATGACGATTGTTTAGGGTTAAGTGTGTTACTTAGGATTTGGGCTTGGCTAGGGGAGATGAGTGAGTAAAAGTGTTAGAGTTTGAGAGTGGCAGTACCTGAGAATTTAACAATTGTAGCGGAGAAGGTGCTTGAATCATGAGGGAAACCCTTGTTGTTGCACTGATTCCACACAAATCAATGATTGTAATAGGCAAAACGAAAAATTTTCTTCGTCAAATTGGAAATGGCGCGATGTATAGATTCTTCCCATATAGACATCTAGACACAGATACACACTACGCTTAAGTGTGTATCCAAGTAAGATGCAAAGTTTGGATCTCTCTTCCATCTTATGCCTGGTGTAGGGGCGGATCCATGGAAAGCAGAGATAATTGAAGACACAAAGCTTTATATATTTGGGATAAATACCAAATAGCTTATGGTATAGAGATTGATTATATAAGCCAGGTGTGGGAATCCGATTTGTCAGATATACAGTTGCAGCAAACGCGTATGGCCAATCCTTCTTTGTTATAGTTGCTGTAGAGAGAAACAAAACGCCGGTCTCTATAATGTGTTGGCCTTGGGTTCGAAGATGCCATTGTTCTGCAAGGTAGCTACAGAGAGCTACATATTCACCCCTATTGTGAGAGTATATCATGGTAATCTTGGTCTGGAAATGGTTTTCCATCAGCGGTTTGAATGCCATGAAGACAACTTTTACTTGTGACTTGTGAATGAGCGGGTATAAGCCATGTATAGCAGGAGAAATAGTCTACAAAGACTAGGTAATAATTGTGGTTTTCGTTTGAAGTAATAAGAAGTCTAAAGATCTGTAAAGATGTATTGGAGTGGGCCTGTGGAGGTGATTGTGGTTTTGTGGAAAGAGACTTTGTGACTTTTATTGATATGGCAATCGGGACAAAACAATTGTTTTAGAGATGAATGAGCAACAGGTAATGAGAAAAGAGAGATTATTGATTGTAAAGTGGTGGTGAAGGATAACCAAGTTGCAAGTGCCATGATTTGAAGCTTGTTTTGAGGCTTGATTAAGCAAACAGAGTTTGGGGTTGAGACTCATGGATCGGCAAGTCATAAAGTTCATTCTTGGTTCTGCCCTAAAGAAGAAGAGCCATCATGCTGAAGTTTTTCATCTGAAAATAAGCAGAGAAGAACTCAACAGAGACTTGATTAGTGTTACAAAGATGGTATACAGAAATCAGGTTCTTGCGAATATCAGGAATATATAATAAAGGGCAAGGTTTTTAGTTTTTGAGGGTAATGATGTTGAACCCATATGTGAAATGCTTAGTGGTGAGCTGTCATCGATAAGAACGTCATCTCCACCATTGTACGGTTGATGGAGTGAGAGATTGGCAAGGTCATTGGTGATATGGTGTGTAGACCCACTGTCAAGGAGCCATTTCTTAGCATTAAATATAAGCAATGGCAACATTAGCTCTTGGTTTCCATGGAGCAAATGGGCTAGCATTGTAATACCCCGTCAAAGTGCTATCCGACCCGAACAGAGTTTTCAAGCAAGATGACCCCTCGGTACAATTTTAAAAATCATGGGATTAATTATGGAGGTAGCTAAGACCCCAAGGGAGGCCATGCAAAAATAATTAGTCCAAGAAATATTCTGCCGAGACCTACAAAATTCGTGCAATCCGATAGACGTCCAAGAGCTGCGGAATGAGTCAGATGGGGGAGAAACCATCTCAGTCAAAAACCAAAAAGCTCAAGAGTCTAGATTAGAGATTTACTAACTAAATACAGACTCTTACCACATAAGGTATATCCTCTACACCAACTAGTCTTTGGTTAAGTCTCATGTGAAAACCCGATATTCGTCTCTTTCTTGAGATTTCATTTGGATTCTGTTTTGGCATTGTTAATATCATTTGGACTATGTTTTGGTTTCTTCTGCTTCCTTCTATACATAATTTCTGCTATATTTGGTTTGTACTTGACCTAATAACAACTCAAAACTCTCAATAATCGTAATCACATTAAAGAAACAATATATGTATCTCATGAGGATAGATTTTTTTGAGCAGATGCCTGCATAGAAATTTTGCAAGGAGAGATTAGTATGTGAGACCATAGACACACATGTGTCCACAAGTATCAAGAGATAAGTATTACATATACAATCTGGTATGTGTTCAGATCATGAGGAAGTGCTCGAGCATTCTCATTAAACACAATATCAAAGAACCTTCCCGGTTTTCTGTAGTTCCCATATGAATATAGGTGCAGTAGCTTGGTGTCTGTCTCATCAGCTGCAACCGCATGAAGCTGAAGCATGTCCAAACCACGTCAGTGATCAGTACAGTACCCAAAAGAAGAAAGAGAACAGAAGCAGAGTCAAGACGATAAGCTTACATGCTTGACAAACTTCTGAACTAGCTTGTCCAATGTGAAGAAAACTAATAGTAGCAGATGTAGAATTAGGTATTTAATGGACTTCTGTTATTAACAATGATGAACACAAGTATTTTATTGTTACTTACATATATTATATACATATATAGTTAATTAAATTATTTATTAAATCATTTTTAGTAAAATCGTTTGTAGAATTTTAATATTATTACCTAGTTGTTTACATATTTACCCAATACATGTAATTAGATTTATCAATAATACAATTATAAAACAAAAATTTAATCAACCTTAAAACTTTATCAATGCAAAGAAACTCATGACAATGGGTTTAAAAAAAATAAACATTCTATTTTAAAGTATATAAATAAAAGTAATTTAAAAGAAGAATTTTGAAATATAGCATCTATCACTTGAACTTATCACTTGAACTTGACTTAGTATAGATTCAGTAAAAGATCAAACAGAGATATAATACATGAACATAATCTCTTAAAATGCTGTAGTTTCCTAAGTCAAATAAGAAAAATTAAAACTATAATCTTTTAAGAGATCAGGTTCATGTATCATATCTCTGTTTGATCTTTTACTTAATCTATACTAAGTTAAGTTCATGTGATGGGTATATATTTTAAAATTCTTCTTTTAGATTAAATTATTTCTTTACAATATAAATCTATGCAATATTAAACTAAATTTTGTTATCTAAGTCTTTCTTTATTTTTCATTTATGTTACAAGAACTTAATTTCTATGTTGAGTAAAAGATTATGATTCTTCAAAATTAGATATATGTGGGTAACTTTGTTGCCGAGATCCTAAAACTTCATTCTGTAACGTTATTTATGTCATCAATAAAGTTTTTAGTACATATAACGTTACAAAATAGAGTTTTAAGATCTTGGCCACAAAGTTACCGACGTATATCTAATTTTGAAAATTATTATCTTCTACTCAACATTTATTTCAGATTACAAAAAAAATATATATATATATATATAAATATAAGAAATCTTCTATATATTACTTTGAGATGTGTTTTTAGAGAATAACCTTATTTTTGTAAACAACTATTGTGTATCATTTTGCAGATGTGTCATCACCATAGAGCTTTTTAGAAATCTTTTTAAAAAAAACTTTTGTTACTAGAATAGTTACAACATATGCCATTCATATTAATTGGTTATACCAAAGTCTATATCAATTATGTATACATAATTTAGCATTTAATTATGAAGACATACAGTATTTTTCTTTATATTGTTTTAATTAAAAATAGCATCATATTAATTATTTCTTTACAATATATTTGTTTCCTACTTTTATTGAAATTTTTTTTGTAACAAAAATAAATTATCACATTATTTATGCGATAAAATATATAGTTTTTTTGTCCATGTGTTATAATTTAATTTTTTAAAAGAACTATAAATTACTCAAATGGTGATAAATATAAGTATGTTTTAAAATTCAAATATTAGAATTAAGGAGGTGTATGTGATTCCAAAATTATAATAAAAATGAAAAACTTGTTTTTTTTGTAAAAGCAAGAAGCTTGGTTTAATAGACATAATATTTATAAGTATTTTCTTATTTAATACAATTTTTAATAAAAATTATAAATCAATCAAATAATATAAATATCTAAACTTGATAAAGAGCTATAACAATATTATGTCAAATAATAGACATATTGAAAATAGTTAAATGTGTTAAACACTATAATATTAAAAAGCTATACATTATAATATTTTATTTTAACTAATAAAATCACTTGATACAAAAAATTGAAATATTATCTTGTTAAAATCATACTATAATTTGATCAATTTTGTTTTATATTATAAAAAAAATATGTTGGATCAATAAGTTAAGAGTTATAAATATTGACTTGCTTAAATATAATTTAGATATCTTTTGTAAATTTATAATTATTTAGGTTTCTTAAATGTTAATATTCTAACGAACATAGTATTTGCAGGTTAAAGTAAATATGTAATTACATTCATATAAAAACATTTTAAAACAATTTATATAATTAACTTGATATATAAATTATTTTAATATATCTCCTATGTATACTTAATATTTTAAAATAAAATTTCTAATATTTGTATTTTTTAAAAATATTGATATTTTTACGAACACAATATTTGATTGTTAGACTAAATATGTAATTACATTCATATATAAATATTTAAAAACTAATTTAAAAACTTTTATAAAATTTTTTATTGTTACTTACATATAATATATACATATAAAATTAATTATATTAATTTAGTTTATATAATTTCAAAACCATGTTTAATAAATTTGTTACAACCAAGTTTTTTACATATTTACCTAATACATGAGATTAACTTAATCAATAACACAATAATAAAATAAAAATCGATCAATCCTAAACTTTTGTTAACGCAAATATCATGACAACCTGTTAATAAAAGAAAACAAAGAAAATAAAATTTCTAATTATATAAATAAAAGTAATCTAAAAGAAAATATTCAAAATATACCACACATCACATAAACTTAACTTAGTATAGATTAAGTAAAAGATCAAACGAAGATATGATACACGAACCTAATCTCTTCAAATGCTCTAGATTCCTAAGTCAAATAAAATAATTAACAAAATTATTTACCTTATTGGACTTAGGAAACTTGAATATTTTAAAAGATTAGGTTCATGTATCATATCTTCGTATGATCTTTCACTTAATCAATACTAAGTCAAGTTCATGTGATGGGTGGTATATTTTTTTTTTTTTTGAGATTAGTAAATTTCTCTTTTAAATTAAATTATTTCTTTACACTATAATTCTTTGAAATATTAAATTTATTTTTGCTATCTTAATCTTTTATTATTTTTTCTTTGTGTTATAAAAACTTATATCTTGTCTTGAATAGAAGATAATGATTTTTCAAAATTAGATATATGACATTTGGTGTTCAACAATGATTAATTACAGTATGATTGGATATTATTCAAATTTATTTATAGAAATTTGTGTACCTTTCCAAAAAATTTATCTTCGCAAACTTCAGTACAATGACCAATGATTGTTGTCCTCGAGCTTGAATAGTGTCATTAACTATCGTTGGAAACGAACCCCATAACCCAATAGGATGATGATCATCACTGAAAACACACAACTTTAAGCGTGAGTATTAAGAGTTAATTTATTGAGTAGAAGGATGGATAATTAAAGATTTAAAATACATTTAGACCATATTTTAGATTTAAATTATTTTGAATTTTCAAAGTTAACTTGGGTGTATCTTTCTTATTTATAGAAACAACTTCTACATGACTGACTTCAACAATTTGTCCAATAACATATGCGTAAGATAAGATAAATAACGTAAAAATATAAAATAATATCTCCTTTTAATTATTGAATGAAGTTAAATAATAGCACCTACCAATCAGGTAGTTCTGATCCAAGGAACCATCAAGAATTTCATGGTAATTAGCTGCTTGAAACCATTCAATTCATTGGACAGTTGATCACAGTTACGTACACAGGTGGTTCAAAAGAAAGTAATGTTGTAAAGGGTGACTGGTTGTTCGCTGTGATCCCAATGAGTGATTCACAGTGAAGTTGATGAGTATACTCGAACCACCTTGCAGGAAGAACGGGTCAAATTGATTAGCATTCTCCTTCTTCACTGTAGCATGGATTTTATGATCCTGTTAAAAAAGATAAAATGAAAATAATAGAATCAAAACTTGAAGCATAAAATGATAATAATAGCACACTAACATTTGAATCGATTAAGACCATTTCAATGGTGAGACCAGCAGCAGCGGAATATTTTTTCCAGAGACACATGATGCTCACCTTAATTTTCCACATAGATTTGAAATGTTTCACATCAGAAACTAAAATAAAAGATGCCATAAGCTGTAAATATTTGAAAACTTTGAAAAATAAAATGTTAGAGGAGAAATGATGAATGAATTGATATGTGACTAAACTTATTATATGGTAGTTTACAATTAGGGCTTACGACTAATGATGAATATGTGATTCAACAATTTTAAAAACTATTATTTGATCATTTAAGTATACACACCATATTTAAAGATGTCATATTATTTTATACATAATCGAGTGAACAATATATGATGTAAGTATTGATGCATCTTTATTCGATCAATTATGATTTATTATGAACAATATATTTTTAATTTAAATGACTTTTATAATTGCTTAATTAATAATTAGTAATATTTATCATATTGTGTAGCAATCAATCATGTCAATTAAATTAGTAATAAGTTCTTAATTATATCATGATAGACTGGATTAGTAATTGGTGATAATAAATAATTTTTATTTTGGGTGAAATGATGATATTATGGATTTTAAAGTTTATTGTAAAGTAATTTCTATAAATAACTTAATGTGAGTTAAAACAGAATTTTGCACATTCAAAGTTAATGTATAAACTTTAATATTCACTCAATTAATAATTTAATAAATTATGATTAATTAAAAACAGTACAAACTCATGGCTGAGAGATGGATATCAAAAAACTAAATTCTACCATGCCGTCTCTAAATCATGGTATTTAAATAACCGAATTCTTATGATCAAAGACTCTGACGGCATATGTCACCATGGCAATCGAGATATTGGGAACCTTGTTGAGAAGTACTTCAAAGATATGTATAAAAGCAAAAAGAGAGTGATAGCTCGCTATATTGTAGTTTTTAGGATGCATTTTATACATGTTTTCTCTTGTTCTTCCATTATTTCTTATCATTTTAGTCTCATTTATGTATAGAAGTAGTTATGCATGCATTTATATTAGGAATGCATACATTTTCATGTTTAAGGTGTATTTCAGGTGCTTTTGGGAAGCCAAGCTGTTTAGAAACAACACCGAGGTCCCACATCAAGGTCTTTGCTCGATTCAACATGATGTGAGTTATAAATAGGTCCGGAAGAAGCCTCTCCACTCAGATTCAGGCTCCACTTTCTTCATGAAAGTTGTAGAGGATCGGAATAGATTTCCAATGGTGGTCGAATAATGTCATTTGGATCTGGGGTTCAAGAGATAGAGCGATTCCAGCTACGCAATGTTCACCAGGCTGTTGTACCAGGCAAGCACATCGAGCAAAACCCAGGCAAACCTACCTGGTGCGTGCTAAACCGACAAAAGCTACCTGACGCAACAGGTAGAAACTGCATCGGCCAAGCACATCGAGCAAAACATCTTCCGTACTGTCCGTTATGCTTTATTCGCGCTGTTGACCAACTTTTTCTGCTTTTAACCAAACCTTATCCTTTCACTTATTTAAGCTTTTGACTTACCTTTTTGTTATCTTATCTTCTTCCTTATCCTATTTTCGACCTTGTGGGAAACCACAAATAGATTTTTATGGGATTTTGATCAAGATCATCTATTTTATTAAAGTTTTGCACTTCCTTTGTCATTTTCCTTCAGTTCTTATTTGATCATGTTTGATTTATCATCTCTGCTTGTTTCAGTTGATTTAATGATGGGTTGTGAGTAGTTTCATATGGTTTGAGGTTAGAGCAGATTTGGGGATGATTGGTTGATAACTTAGGGAGTTTTGGTTTAATTCTTGCTTCAATCACTTAGCTTAGTTGTTCTTAGTGATTAGTAACTATTTTAGGGTGAAACTGATCGTAGATGTTTTCTGCATCAAAAATGTTTGTTTAAATTCCTGAAAGAACTTTGCTAGAAACATTCGCCTAGATGATTATATTGCGTTTAGGTTGTTTGTTTGGTCTTTAAGAGTCTTGTGTTTTCATGCTAGTTTTGCACAAATACGCCATCACAAGTGGGTCTGACATGTGCTTAACTTTGACATATTTGCTCTGTTTTCAGATTGATTGAATTAGTGGCTTGATCATGTTCTTAGCTTGTTATTAGTCTTGACTATCCTAGGTTTGATACTAAGTAATCCCCAAGTCATTATTGCTCTAGCCTTAAACCTGCACCTTATTGTTCTTTGCATTTTGATCATTTTGTACTCTAAATCACACAAGCATTTCTCAAATATAAGTGGCCCTATAGAACAGGGTAAAGTGAAACTTCTTGGGTCACCAAGCTTGTTAGGAGACACTTTTGTTGCTGAATGATGGCTCTGCATTCATGTGTTAACACAACCATCCCTTGCAGATCTTTAGTTCTCTCAACTACAACATCTTTCATAAATTTCTGGTAAGGAGGAGCTAGGACAAAGACATCAAGTAAAGGCATAGTAAGCTGTATTTTTTTCATCTGCTCATCAAATAGACCTTTGTATTTGGCAAGCAACTCTTTCTTGAACCTTCCAGGAAATGGTAGTGGTGGCTTGTAAGGAGGAGGAATGTATCTTGGTTCTTTAACCAACTCCTTAAGCGCATCCTTTTGTTTTTCCGTAGCCACATCTTTGCCTTTATCCTTCTTTGGGGTTTCATTAGCCTTGATTGGTTCATCATCTTCTATTACCACCTCCCCTTCTTGTTCCTCAATGTCTTCATTATGGATAGCGGGAGCAACTCTAGGTGGAATCTATTTTCCACTTCTCAATGTGACAACTTTGATGTATTCTCTAGAGGAGTGGGATGTAGAGGGCGCATTCTTGTGCTGCAGTTGTTCAAGATTTTGGTCAAAGGCTTTTTGCTGAGAGAGGAGTTTTGACTCAAGCTGAGACTGGAGTTCAGCCTTTAGTGTAGCTGCTTGTGTTGTAATGTTTTGTTGCAGCTCTTGGAAACCAGTTTGTTGGGAGTTAAGGATCTGCTTCAAGATTTGCTGCATATCAGGTTCTTGGGAGGAAGGAAGAGGTGAAGGTTGCTGTTGTTTTGGCTGTCTCTCCCCTTCTTGTTGCTGAACATATTGGGTCAGAAGTTGTTGCTGAAGCTGTGATTGGTGGAATCCAACATCAATTCTTTCTTTCAGCACTTTCACTTCTAGTAAAGTAGCTTCTAGTTGAGAAGAGACTAATTTCTAAATATCCTCTTGGTCCTCACCATATTTTGCATTGCTGTGAGCGATATTCTCAAATAAAACCAAACCATCATCCACATCTTGAGCAAGAAAGTTACCTCTGCTAGTTGTATCAAGGAGTAGTCTCATCTTAGGCAAGATACCTCTATATAGTGTAGATAACAACGCCTCTTTTGTGCAACCATGGTGAGGGCATTGGACTGTGAAGCTCCTAAACCTTTCCCAAGCATCTGCAAAACTCTCATTGGACCATTGGTGGAAGTTGTAAATCTCATTTCGAAATCTGGCAGTCCTTGAGGGAGAGAAGAACTTGGTTAGGAAAGCAGTTTTTCATTGAACCCATATTGTGATGCTTCCTTGCTGCAAACCTTTTTCCCATAGTTGAGCTCTATCTCCAAGTGAGAAAGGGAAAAGTCTAAGCTTCAGACCATCATCAGATATGCCACTCATTTTAGCCATAGAGCAGATCCTCTCAAAGTTGTCCAAATGCTCAAGTGGATCTTCATTAGGCATCCCAAAGAATCTGATGTCTTGAACCATTGCAATCATGCCCTTTCTGATCTCAAAGTGACTGTCTTCTAAAGGAGGAGCGATCCCATGTTTTGAAGCAAAAGATGGTATATCAGCAGCTCCTATAGGTTGTCTTTGTTCTCTCAAACCCCAATCACTTTGTAAACCATTAGGACCTTGCTGTCCTCGTAAACCTTGGATCCCTTGAAGACCTTGTGGACCTTGTGGACCAAAACCAGCAGCATGTGGATGCTCTTCCATCTTTCAACAACTAATAGTTGCTGCTGTGAATCCAAAATCTTGTCCCTTGAACTAGTTGAGCAGCTGTAGGCGCCTTAGAGCAAGTGTTTTGGTACCTACAAAAGAAATTCTAGTCCAAAGAGAGCAATTAGTAACCAAACACAAAAATAAAAGCTTGATCTCAAACAATCTACAAATCCTAATGCTTAGAATAATCTCAAATGGCAACGGCGCCAATTTGATGTAGGAGTTTACTTTACTTCAAATCCTACATATACTCATATCATTATAGTATATAGGTATCAATCCATAATGGGAAGGTAAGACACTAAGAATGCAATAGATAATCTAATTCAAGCAAGCATGATTGGGTGATTGAAACTATGAAACTAATGACTAAAAGAGACTTCAAATAAGCAAGAGCAAGTAAAATAAATAGAAAAACTAAGGCAAGTTCGAATTCAAACAATCAAGAACTAGTAGGCTTGAGATGGGTTATTGATGAAGGGAGACTCTTGGCTTAACTAGTGATGCTTACAAACCCACAACAAATTATTCATAGGCATAAAATTAACAACTATAACTAGCTCAATTCCTTGACATTAATCACTTTGCTAAGCACATAATCAAGATAAATTCATTTACTCAAACACATGATCAGCAAGCATTTTAAGCATTAATCAAATTCTATATTATCAATATACTCCTGACAGTTGATTCCTTAGGCTAAGATAAGCAAATCTCTTACTTGACTCATTCAGGCAATTCATCAAACACTTATCAGGCATAAGAGAACCCTAGGATCTAGATCAACTTAGCAAGGACTAATCTAGCATTAAACACAATCGATAAGAAGGAACAATCATATTAAGCACTAAGTGATTACTAATCTAACCTTAAATCTCTCTATATCTATCATATCTCAAACCCTAAGCAAACTACTCACTAATAATGATTCTAATCACAGCCCAAAGCAAGGGAGAATAACAAATCATGATCAGAAATTAGATAAATACCAACTTTTGATTGAAAGAACAAGATTCAACAAGAAATTACAAGAAAACCTAAGAGAAATATAAATGAGAAAGCTATTATCCAAAGGGTAAAAGATGATAAGATCCTCTATAATATTTTTAGGTCACAACCTATATATAGTTTTCATGAAAAACCCTTAGTAAACCGGAAATCAACCGGAAAGGAGCTGGTTCGGACGCCTGATACTGACTTGTTACATCGATATACTGGTCGATACTGGTTGACAGGAGGGTGTATCGACCAGACTCTTTGATTGATACAGTCGTCTCTGGCTAAGGCATCTCAGTTGATCTCCTCGGTATGCTACTCGATACAATCGTCCTTTAGTTAAGGCCTATCGAGCTCCAACATCGATACAATGATCGATACACTTCTTGGCTTGTGTATCAAGATGTTCCTATGTCGATATGCTGACTGGTACAGATGCTCTGAAGGTGGTGTATCGACCAGAGTAGCTCGATACTCTTTGCATGTTATGTCTCCTTGTCGACTTTGGGACCTCGATGTGTTAATCGGTATAGCTCCTCAGCATGTATCGACGTGTGATGTTGATATGTTGCTATGTATGTTGTGTATCGATTTGCTAAGTCGATATCCTGATCGATATGAAGCCTTCACGCCTTGGTTCCTTCAGCTTGTGACTCCCAGCATTTCCTTTGGTCCTTAAACTCCTCCAATGCACCTTGCTAAGTGCTCGAAATGCACCTAATATGCAATGCAACTCCTAATTATACTCTAACTGCTAAATGGGTGCAATTGGAACATGAACATGTAAAAATGCATGCTTAAGGATCAAAAACTAGTGCTAAATGTATGCTAAAATGGTATAAACTTAGTGTATATCATCCTTGCGAAATATTCCAGAAGAACCCGAGGCAGCGGGAACCAGAGATGAACGTAAAGGAAGAAGTGTTCGAATAAACACATGTAGCCTGGCGGTGCATCCCAAGGTCGTTGCTCCTGACTTGGGACCACGAATCTCACCTCGGGACCGATCCCGCAAACTTGTTTCAACTGATTCAACGGCTTCCATGTAGTACGGGTTGGGATAATCCCGAAGATCTTGTCCGGGCGTGGGGCGTTCTTTTTGGATCACCTCAAAGTCTTGATTGAATACGGGGTATACTTGTCGAGAATCTCGTTCTCCCCAAACTCCTCTGATTCGCTTAGGCTAACCTGTTCATCTTTGAACTCGACCTTGTCCTGATCAGCCAAAACATTGTCGCCCTCGAACTCATCGGCATCGTCCTAATCAGATACGACGATGGCACTTCCTACCTCGTCAAATTTGTCCCGAAGCACGGGCACCTCGATAACTAACATCAGCCCGAGCTACGGTTCCTAGTTGCGCCTCCTCAAAATGCGCCGCCGCATGCGATAAATGATCTCTTTTCATCGCCTCATAGTTTATCCCAATCACGCGTGCTCTCACCCGATCTGATTTGTCTGAACCCGAGCTCACACTGCCCTTTGATCCGACTGGCGTCACAACCTTTTCCTTCCCTTTGGATAATCTATGCGGGCTCATCTTCGATTGACTGGATAATCCCGATCTAAACTCTAATTTAACAGCACAGGCTTTACTGTACGGGCTTTTACGGGCGGCTCAATCTAACCAAAGACTACCAGACTAACAAAAACAAGGAAATCTAGAGAGAGAAATAAGAGAGAAGGGAGAGCGAACCTAATGTGGAGATTTTCGCAAAAATGAGAAGTGAGAAAATGAAGGCCTCACACCCCACAATCTTAATCTTTTACCCCACAATCTCTTTATTTTCTCTAAGGGATATTTTTGAGATCTTACAGAACCCATTACCAAGAATGAACTTCCACATAGGCGCATAAACGTATCGGAATGTGCATTATGTCACAAGTTTTTAATATGTTCAAGTAATTTTTTTCTCCATTCTAGTTTGTACGAATCAATCACAGCCGACAAAAAGTACGACTTTAAGAGCAAGAGTATTGGTGAATCCAATAAGAATTCTAAAGAAAAAAAATAAAATTAAAAATTAGAAAAAAATGACATGGCAATACTCTGCCACAACATCGACTCTCTGCGCGCGGGGTCTGTAGAACCATCTCTCACCACGTGGCGAGACGCGATTCGTCACTTTTACTTTTTTTTTTGAAAATCAAAAAAAAAAAATTTTTTTTAAGAGCTTCAATTTACAAGATCACCAATACTGGTGCTCTAATGTATTCACAGAGTTTCTATTACCGAAAGGTTGCGTCTCCTCAATCTCAAGAGCCCCATTAACCTCATTAGATAGAACCGACTATTTCAAACAGTTGCCTTATACGATGTAAGAATTTGTGTTAGAAAACTTGATAAACAAAATGAACTGAAACACAGAGTTGAGAAATCTTTTTCGTTAACTCAATACCAAAGAGAATTATTCATATTCAAGCTAGCAAGTTGTGGGCAATTCAGAGCATAAAAAGTGGCACTTATATGTTCGCGAGAATGGACCTAGATCATTTGTCAAGAGACAAGCTTGCCAGAAGGAGTATGGACTGGTCTGTGAACAATTGGGACTCTGGTTTAAGCAGACCGTATAGTCCCAAGCCACTATGTCCTACGAGCTTTAATCCTTACCATCATCAGTAACGGTATATATATATACTCGTGTTTCGGGTACTAATTATCCCATGTGGGATAAATTAAAGATCAGACCATAAGCGGAGGGACGGTAATTACCCATGCAACGCTCACGTGCTTCCTCAAGTATTCATTATTCTGATTGAAAACCCTAATTTCAGTTATCCCCAGTCCGTTTATTAGCAAACTATGTGACTGCGAAAAACAAAAGGAACCCTAACATTTTTTAAATTTTCTCACAATCACCCCTTTTGTTCACTTTTGATAATTTTACCCTTCTTTGTCTTTTTAATCTATAAGATACTCTATCGAAATAAACAGTCTCTGGATAAATGATTATCCTTGCAATCTCTTGCCTTATGAAATCCAACGAATTTTTTTTGCTTATATATTTGTGTCTTGGGTTGAACTTGGGTTCCCCAAATGATTTTTTTCCCTTATATTTGTGTCTTTCTATACATTTTTATGAAACTCACAAGATTATTTTTAACTTAGTATATACTTATTAGTCAAAAATATAATGACCCATATAAATTTTATTTATAGGAAAACTCGTCTCTAATCTCTAAAATACAAAGCCGAACAAAATTTGTTGAGTAATACACAAGATAGGGATAGGCCTGAATCAGATATCCGAGATTTTTTTTAGTATTTGTGGTTTCATCAGTTTTTAACGAATATTTAATTTTATAATTTGATTTACTTTTGGATATATACGGATTTCCGGATTTTCGGATATCTAAAAAATTTACAGGTACTTGCCGATATCTGGAGACAACATACTCCTTACTACCTCCCATTTAGAAACGGAGAAGAGATGTTTAAGAATAAGTGAGATTCTGCTAGGCTTGTGTATGAGAGATAAAACACTTGGATTTACAACACTTGGATTTAAAGGATTTAGGTAACTTGCATGTTGGAGTTGAAAAAGCTTAACTTCTTCTTCAGCGATCATCTGGGAACTCAGAGAAGTCTCCTTGGACAAGGATTCCTTTGCAGAGCCAATGATGTCCAACAAAGCCATGGGTGCTTCCCCTGTAGAAGCCATTACCATCGGAAGCTTGTTCAACTCTAACATAGCGGTTTCGATCTTGAGATTGATTTTGCGGACAATCTCAGGCAAACAGCGGGAGATCATGGTTGTCTGGATAAGCATTAGCTTCTGAGCCAAAAAAGGGATGCCAACAATGTCATCATCGATCAAGCATAACATTGTATGAGTCCTGAACAGCGACTCCTCTTGCATCCTAGCTTCTTCATAGGTCTCTTCTCCGATACGGTTTCGCACGCAGACATAACCAAGTCCAATACTCACATCATAACTGATTCCTGCTAGAGACTCAAGAACACTTGACTTCCCCGAGGACTGGTCTCCCACAACAACAATAGTCGGAAGCTGGATCCCTTCTCTCATCACATTGAGATTCCTTAACCTGTCAACAGTGTCGAGCAACGGCCTGATCCGATCGTTGTAGGAAGACACAATCGGTGCTTCAATGGGAACAACTTTGTTGTCATTGAGATTTTTTTCGACAATAGCAAGCGAAGAAGAGGTTTTAGAGACAATATGCTTCTTACTATACCTCCCATTTTTGAAGAAGAGTGAAAGAGATGCAGACAAAGAAGAGAGGTTATGTAATATTTTCTTAGAGATGCTCGAAGATATGTATATATAGAGGTACTGTGTAAGTGATATAAGCAAGAAGTAAACGTTGGAAATGAAAGGATTTAGGTGACGTGCATGTTGGAACTGAAAAAAGCTAAGTACGTCCATAATTAGCTCATTGTTGAAGCTAAAAAGTAAAAAAAGCCACTCTTAAATGATTCATTGTGTTTGTAACCATTATCAAGATCTTGTTGGCTTCCATGGCGGTGACGTTTGGAATTATAACGAAAGTCGTACTAGGTAAGAGAAGTAAGGTCATAGATTACACATCCATAGTTCATAACTATAGCTAATCAGACTCTCTCATTAGTTTGAATTTTTCATATCATTTTTGATTTCGATTTTAATTAATTTGTAAACTGAAATTTGGACCGGCCCAACATTTTGGAAGTTTAACTTTGTACATCCGACTATATCCTCCGTACGTATTTTTTTGGTATCATGAATAAAAATCCAACAACATTTCATATCTTTATATAATTTCAGTAGATTTGTTTAAGTTTGCTTCAAAGCTAGAAAATGGGAGGTAGTAACTTTCCAACAAAAATATAAATTATTTTTACTAAAATATTGAGATTGAGTTTATCAATCTGCTTCAAATACATAAAGTAACTGGATTTTATAATGTGTATTGTCCTTGGAGTTATATAACAGTTCATTATTTTGTTGTGATGGAGATAGAAACAGATTAGTGAACTTAATCAACAACTGAATTTGGGATTCATAACTTTCGATTGATGAAAATCACTATCTGAAGACGTTAAGTTAAGATTCAAATCATTTTTTTCTTCTTTCAGTTTTGGATGTTATAAATTAGCGAAAATTTGTTTAACAATTATGAGTTGCTTCACATGTTAATGAATACAGATTAATGAAAATTTGTTTAATGTTATAAAAAAGAAATTCTAATAGATAATTAAAAAGTTAAAAACCAACATCTTGAATTTAACACTCTATTATGTTGCCTTTGATACTCCCACATCAGAAGAGGTGGTATATTTACCATCTCTAAAGACTATGCATTTAGAAGAGGTCAAGTATGATGGAGATTCATTTTTGGGGACGTTAATATCAGGTTGTTTAGCTCTTGAAGAGTTGATTTTAGTGACATATCCTGAAGATAATCTTGAAGTTGTGTGTGTGAGGTCTGAGTCACTTAAAAGCTTCAAACTAGGCACTACACGTGATGGAGCTGAAGATCCTAATGTGGAGATCGATTCTCCTAGACTTGAGTACATGAGTATACGTGATTACATATGTAAAAGTTTCGTAATACATCGTATTGGTCCATTTGCGAAGGTGAACACTGATAAGTTTGGTGCGGTGCATGCTGATGATCCATTGGAGAGAACTTTGTTCCATGGTTTTCTCACTGGGATATCCACAGTCCGTGAAATGATCATTTCAGCTCGAGCTCTAGAGGTACACAAGATTATTTCAATAATTTCAACCTTGTTCAAATTCTTACATCACTTATTTTTTTCTCGATACACACAGGACGTCCGTATTTACTCTAAGTTCGAATCATTGCCTCTGTTTTATAACTTGTCTCGCTTGGATGTTTCGTTTGCTGAACATAATTTGGAGTTGTTGCCAACCTTTATTGGTTGCTGCCCAAATCTACAGTCCCTTTTCATGGTGCGTCTCATTTTATCAATGCTTATGTGATCACATTCAAATTCATATTCAAAGAAAACACTTAAATTTTTTCTTTTGGTTGTATTGTCAGGAATTTGACTGCCCTCCAGAGACAAAGGAGATTAAGCTTTCATATGTACCTCAATGTTTCTCATCCTCTCTTGAGTTTGTTGAGATGAAGACACCAGTCACAACCATAGAGCCAACAATCAAGATGAATCTGGCTGTATACTTTATGAGGAACTCTGCGGTTTTGAAGAAGCTGGTGGTGAGTAAGAGTTTCATCAACATTATCAGAAAAATCAGAAAGATTCCAAAACTGTCTCGATGGTGTGAAGTTCTCATGCTAGAGTCTGAGGTTGTCTCTCAAAAGTCCAGTTTAGTATCAGGTTATTGATATATCATGGTTTTTTATGGTTTTTAACCATGATATAAATCCTTTTTATTGAGTCTTTTTGGTCTTTTTAGAGTCCTAGAAGAGTCTTTGCAGGTTATAACATGTCTGGAGCATAATTGGAGATTTTGGAACCTTTTGGAGTATTCTGGGTTGAAGCCACGAAGTACCAAGCTCGAAGCATAAAGGATCACATATGGTGACGCTCGTCACCACCTTTGGTGACGCTCGTCACCCATCAAGGAAGGAGCGTGGCTGTTTTATTAAAAGTATGAAGAAGATTTGTAGAATTGGCCCAGAAGTTCTTTTATTTATATGAAGACCCCAGATCGTGTTTAGCCTCTATTTATTAGGTTTTTCAGCCATTGTTGGCTATGATCTTAGTTTTTGAGAATTCAGAGAGCTTAGAGAGAGATTTATTCAGAGCTTTTTGGGGAGACAAATCCTGTACTCTTTTGAGAAGATTTCGAACCCCCTTTATTTCTTACTCTTTCTCTTAATGCAATTTTATTCAGTTATGTTTTGTGATCTCATAATCATGTCTGAGTAATCTGCTAGTTAAGTTAGGGTTTTTCAAAGGTTGATGAAAAGAGTGTAGAATCGCTATCTGTTAGGAATATCTCATGGTTTTTCATCTCTGCTTGCTTTAAAATCGATTTTCTGAGACACATCATCTAGGAATCCGAAAATCATAGGTTGTTAAATATATGTGAGAGCATTATTCATAACCTGAACTAGTATTTGATGAGCAAAGCAACTTAGTGCAAAGAGATTTGGCTTAGGAGTTTTGTAAACAATTGAATCTGATCAATCCTGCATGTTTAGGTTGTTAGGGTTTGCAAAGAGATTTGAAACTCTGTGATTTAGGTATAGATAACTTTTGCAATGAGAATTGATTAGTTATACATCAGTGATTCATGTTTAAAACGGTTCTTAATCATTCCTGATTTCCTGCATCATACATTCTTGGATTCAACCTGCGAATTACCCTGACTTAGCGCTTTTAGTCTTCTTGAACTTAGATCATCTCACACAATCGTTTGCTTACTTTCATTCATTCATTCGCATTACATACATCATATTTTGCTTAGCTTAATCCGAATCTACATTCGATAATGTAGTCTGCATTACTCTCTTGAGATTTTGATACCCCTTGTACTACAACTGCTTTTGCTGTGCACTTGCAGTAGTTTTATTTGGGTAAAACCTGACCCTATCAAGTTTTTGGCGCCGTCTCCGGGGAGTAATAGCTGCCTATCGATTTTTAGTATTAGGATTTTGTCTAAGTTTTTATTTGTTTACTGACTTTCAGCTACTTTTCTTTGTTCCTGTTTCAGGTGTATGCCTAATCGCAGAACCAGAAGCAACAAAGAGAAGGAGCTTGTGACTTTGAGCATCGACGAGCTTGCTAGGTTGGAGAGAACTAACAGGAAAGCTAAGAAGCAATCTACAATGGTCGCTCCACTTATCTTGGTTGAAGATGCAGAAGGTCACTTGGTTGACAGGGAAGGAAATAGGAGGAACGAAGAGGGGCAGAGAATTGATCAAGAGGGGAATGTTATTGTTGAACAGCAGGTTCAACAAGTGGCTGAGAACGTGGGAGTCCCTGCTGCTGTCAATAACGCTGATGGGCGTTTTGTTCAGAGGACTCTAGGTGACTACAACAGACCTGATCAGTTCTATGCCAACAGAGCTGCCATCCGACCTCCTGCCTTCCAGAGGAACGATTTTGAGGTTAAACCTGTCTACTATCAGCTGGTTGGCCAGCATCCCTTCCATGGTTTACCTCATGAGCATCATATGGATCACATAGAGAGATTTGAGGACTTGGCTTCCAGTGTCAAAGCCAATGGGGTTAGCAATGACTTTCTGTTCTGCAAGCTTTTTCCTTACTCTCTTGAAGGAGAAGCTGCATATTGGCTGAAGCAACTGGAACCTGCTTCATTGACTACTTGGGAAGACACCAAGAATGCCTTTTTGAACAATTTCTATGATGATGCAAGATCAGAGGACATGAGGACGAAAATTGCATCATTTACACAAGGCCCTACTGAAGCTTTCAAGGCCTCTTGGATCAGGTTCACGTCTTATCAAAAGGACTGTCCTCATCATGGTTTCAGCCAGGTGCAATTACTTGGGATTTTCTTCAGAGGCATTGACTGGAAATATCAGATGGCGCTGGATGCAGCAAGTGCAGGAAACTTCAACACCAACAGACCAGAAGAGGCGATCAGACTGATTGAGAACTTGGTCTGCAGCAACAGCACTAAAAATGCAGACTTTCAGAGAATGAAACAAGCTGGTGTAGCTAATGGAAATCAAATTGCTGAAGTTAAGGCTAAGTTGGATGATATGCACAGCCTTTTGGTGGGGAAGAAGTCAGTTCACTTTGCTGCAGAAGTGGAAACTTTCGAAGCTCCAGAGGAAGTTGAGCAGGAGGATGTAAATTTCATCAATTCTGGTGGTTTTCAGGGACAAAGGTATGGGAATCAGCAGTGGAACAGAGGATACAGCAACAATAATCAGAAGAACACCCTTACAGGAGGACAGCGCACGCCTGGTTTCACTCCTAGACCTCCAATCCAGAAGACAGAGTATCAGAAGCCATTCCAGAACAGTGGAAATTACAGAAACTATGGTTCTTCTTCCTATCAACCAGCACCTCCACAAGGGAATAAAATGGAAGCAATGTTCGAACAGATCTTGGAAGGACAACAGAAGCTTACAGTGGACTTTAATGGCAAGATAGATTTGCTCTATCAGGATTTGAATGGAAAAATTGAGAGTCTGAACTCTCATATGAAGAAGCTTGATGTTCAAGTTGTCCAAACAGCAGGAGCTGTTCAGAGGCAAGAAGGATTTCTTCCAGGAAGAACTGATGCTAATCCCAAA